TATATATCCGAGCGACGAAAAGTAAGCACCTACTTACATGCATGTGAACATCGTATCGGGATATATAATGCATATAAAGGGGCCAACGACCGAATGTACATGATATTGGGCAACATAAAGATGGGCATAGAAGGAAGGCGAAAGTAAGTAATAAGCCGGAGCGGGAGTCACACACACATACATCAGCGCAACCAGAGCACCAGACATCGAGGGAATGATATCTTCCAAGCTCTCAGAAGCGACACTCTCTTAAATTTATTCGCCGTTCCAGTACGATTGCAGAGAAGGTTGATAGGAAGTGGAGCAACATTGAGGTTGACCTAACCTCAATTCAGCCATTCGTTCCTTGGCGTGAAACTTTTTTTTTATTGTTTTTAATTATAGACTTATTTGTAGGGTTTTTTTATTTTGTCTTAAGATTGAAGTATTGAATTATTTTCGGCAATGAATTTGAGGGGGTTTTTGGTTGTTCGACTAATATAAACACATGCTAGTATTAGTTTTTGCTCACCAATTAGTTTGTTTGTTTAAGTCACCATGTATGCACGATAGCTTTTAGCGTAAATTTCAATCGTTCTCCAGTAGCCTCTCTTTATCTGTACACACATTTTTTTTTTGTTGTCACTTTTATCTTATGATTAATCACTATAGTTAGATTGAATAGTTTTTTTTTTATATAATATGAAAATTGAAGTAGAGTAGGTGGCAGATGCATTGAAGTTGAGGCGGTCCAAATGAGATTGCTAGGAATTTGCAAGTCTAGCTCAGTTCCAATTTGCATTTGGAAAGCATTGGAAAATTACATATATATGAACTTTGTATATACATTTTTTGCAGCTCTCCCATCTCACTGGTGCAGGCGCCTTCATCGGGAATGAGATCGGTAAGTGCTAGCGTTGAAGATTACTCACATATACAACTTGAATTATTTTTAATAAGAAGTAGTTGAGAGACTTCCGTAATTCCAAAGCATTACTCACGGCTGCATGGATTATTTAATATAGGAATGAATGAAATTGAAAGAGGTTTATATATTTAGTTCAGGTGTAAAAAGAAAAAAAAAAAATAAGTGCATGTAATTGCTTTGAAGTTAAGATACTTATAAACATATATACATTTATCATATAGCATCACTTAGATAGTAGGTTAACATTAGGAAGGTTCGAATATTAGGACTTACACTATATCTGAATAGTGTTTATTGCATGAAGTTTTGTTCCCCCCATTAGATATAAAATTTATTGATAAGTGTACATGAATATAGAGTAAAAATAAAAGAATGTATTTTTTTCCATGAAGTTGAAATCATGCGTTGATTTGAATTAGAAGAACTTGTAATGAGTAACTAAGTTCAATTTGTTGGTGTGAGGTGTTGCACTGGTGCAACTGAGGGGACATGGGTATGGTGACCAAATGACTGGAATTGAACTGAACAGACGTTAGACAGACAAACGGACAAGTGTCAGGTATAGGGAACGCTGTAAGAATGAGAGGAGTCAACACAGCGTCCATGGCTTCGCGTACCGGGTACGTTGAAGAGGGTGGGTAGACTCCGCCTGACTGGACTGACTTCCTTCACATCATTACTTTCTCTTCTCTATATTCTTTCCTTCCCTCTAAGGCATGAACAAATTTTGCTTATGTGGTTGTAGGCAAGGTAGGTGGAAGGACCCCCCCGACGACGAGCTAGTCTGGGCTCGCTAGCATGCCATAAAACCGCTGCAACTTGTCCTAAAAGTCAGATACATAACACACATTTTTTTTGGTTTCTCATAAAACTATTGAACTCTTACTCCTCATATCCGGCGTTTGCGGCCTCAACATATACAGCTACGACTACCCTCTGGTGACTATTGATCACGGGCATGGCTGGATCTTGAATGGATACTTTATTCTCGTCCACGTGATTGACCTTAACTACTTTAACATAACGTTGGAGAAACTAAGAGAGTCAACACGGTATGAGATCGAAAACGAAGCAGTGAGGACAGTTTTACAATTCCTCCTGAACCAGACTGGGCTACGTCTTGAAGAACTTCAGATGACCAAATTGAGAAAGGCACGTTCTATTGACTGGATCGGTTCGGCAGGGAAATGGATTGCTGGCAGTCCAGATGCTGCGGATGCGGGATATAGTCCCATCCCACGAAGCCTAAACGAGGTGGTGACCAACAACAACCACCAATATCGCGTCAATGATAAGCTCTTTAACGAAACCCGTGAAGCAACTGAGAAAACAAATCAAATGATGATTCACATTAATGCTGTCAGCAAGAGTGTTAAAGCAGAAAACCTTGAACTTCTGGACCTAAGTAAGGTTCTCATCCTTAAAGAACAAGTATTGGAGGTAGTGCAAGCGTGCCAAATGGCAAAAACGGGCATCGTAAACGCGAACCTGCTTGATCCATAGACTTATACTCGAAGATGAGTCCTTACCATACCAAAACTCAGTCGAGGCTATGAACACGGATCGGCATCCGTATACTCGAACGGAACACTTCTACTTTATGTTCTTTCCATGGCAAAGGTGAAGCCGGACAGCTATCGACTATTAATGGCACGAGCTGCTATTATAAATGGACAACACGTGGTACTCGACTATGAGAAAATGTTGATAAATCAGGATGAAACGTTCGGCATTTAAAATGATTTCCCGTCCATTGGCAATTACTCAATTTGCGCACCCAAATCGTTGACTAGACTACCCGAAGACGGATACATAGCGAGATTGTTAAAAGGCGGAAATGCGATATGCCACTTCGAACCATCCAACAGCATAGTCATAGAAATGATGGACGAGGCATCACTATTCCTAACGAACTTTTGGGGTAAAATCCAGGGAAAAAACTACGAAAATGTGCTGAATAGAACATATGTCGTTTTGCTCAACAACGAAACCATCGTAATGGGAAACCAAACGTTTACCAGCAGGTCGACAAGGGTGGTACAGGCTTTGTCACCTACACCTACGAAAATTGGGCGAAACCTTTCACTTTTCGCTGACCATCGACACCGTTGCTTTGGCGCGCCTTTCATCAATATGTTACGTAATTTGGAGGAAGATTACTACAACTATCTACTTTCCCAGGCTCAATCGCTCAATCAAACAAGATCAGCCAAACGCCGACTTCAAAGATCCACGTCAGTAACTACCTCATCAGCGGGACGCAGATGTCTACTTTCAGGCAAGCGATTTTTGAATCACTATTTACACGAGCGATTTTCCCAGAGCGATGTTGAATCGCCTGGAAAATCGGCTCATGTAAGGGCAGCTTTGTTTTACATCGCTGTAGCAGCATACAGAATAAATAACAGCAAAGAAATGTCTGCTTCGTTTCATGCAAATTCTGCACAAAACAAAACTCTACTACATACATATGTTCGTTCAACAGATCAACATTCAATCAATTGAGTTAGACTTGAATACATGCATATATACATAACTATGTTCAAATTAAAACTGATATGGTAAAGTAATTTAGCCCTGTTTTTTATGGGAATCCTGCCTCTGTCTAGCCGAATTCCATTTTTCCAACGCTGTAGTGGCATGCACAAACAACAGCAAATCAATGATGTATTCGGCACATTGTTTTCGCGCAGTTTATAAAAT